TGGCTTTCAGATTCCAACGACCGGGCAGGGAAAGTCGTCCGTCGGGGCTCGGCATATTACGATTCTCTTGTCACACACACCCTTGTAATGAGCTATCCATGTCCTCCCTAGCCGTTGCAATCAATACCTGAAATTTTGCCAATTTTTTGAACCGGCTAGCCTAATCATTTACGTTGTCAGCTGTAGAAAAGCAGCTGCAGTTATGTCATCATAAATGCGGTGATTTATTTTATTTCACTTGGTCCTCATATCTCCCCCAGATCGTCCGTCTCTCCGTTCGCTCTTTCTCTAACTATTTCTCGTAATTTTCTATCATTCCTCATTTGTTTGCTGTTTCTATGAAGCTTTTGCGTCAAAATAGTTTGCGTGCGTGTACGAAATCTGCCTTCACAGAGAGCTGTGTTCGTGGAATTGTTTAACCAAGTTTTCTTTTGCTATTGCATCATATCCAGGTAATATTGTGATCACCGATTTCTATTGATTTCTTCAAGTACATGTATGTACTGTCCGAATATGTCGCTCTAATATAGCGCTGTATTGTTTTATATATCCATAGAATTTATTTCTTCATACTTCCCAGTGTTTTCTTCATATCATTATTGTTGTTTGTACTGCACATTAACTAGTCAGTAGTGCTAACCAGTGATTCCGGCATTGCTCAAGGTCTCAAATATGGTTAGGCATTCTGAGCCACAGCGATTATTGCAGCTCATCTTCATTGTAATTTTTGAATGAGCGAGTTCCTTGACTCCTTTTGGGTAAAAGGAAGCGTTCATAGTTCGCGACATCGCCCGTTGCGAAGAGCGACTCTGCGAGCAGTTTTGCCGATTTCGTGATTAAGTATTAGAGCGCGTTCGCTCAAGCCATAGTTATTCGCTTATGGTCTAGGGCATTTTGAAAATCGATTCACCACGCTCTGTCGCTAATTGAACAATCGCTTCGCTCCGCTACCGCCGTGTCGCGAACTATGGACGCTGCCTAAGTTGTGTTCAGACTTCGCGATCGGATCGCTCGAACGACTGGGTCGCGATCGGATCGCTCGAACGACCGGGGGCCATGCACCGCCAAAACGGCGCAATTCAAATTGACAGTTTGTAAACGCGGTGCAATTTGTATTCTGCCGTTGCGGCAGTGGAGCGCAGTCAGTGATGAACGCTCGACCCAAGTCTAAACGCGATGTCACTGATAAGTTCTTCGCTAATGCGTCTGGAGAACATCGTATGGTAGTGCCAAGCTTAATCGCTGGGACCAGCAATGCTAAGAATCGCCTTACTAGTCTTGAAGATCATTCCTGGTCTAGACATTCTTGTACTGGAAGTTGCCTCTTAACTTTTTTTGGTTGTGAACCAAATTCTAGTTTTGTTTCGTCTAATCTGTATATTCACGCGTTCTTTTTACGTGAGAAGTTAAATTGTATCTTCGACTTCTTGTAAGCACCAACGTGTGTCCAATAAGAATACAGCGGGTAGTTTTGCTCTTCAAAGCTATGTTTGTTTTTATTTTTACTTATAACAGCTTTATACAGTCGAGGTTATAAAGTGTTCCAATTTTCGTTTTTCCGTGTTGTATACAGGCTTCGAATGGCAAACGTACTGTGATCCAATTATTTAAAATCAACTACCATTTAAAAGAACAGAAAACGGGTGATAAGTGCCTATAACGCCTGAAGAGCGCTCATACTTCGCGATCCCTTCGGAGCGACTGGTGGCAGCGATCGTAGCCGATCGCACTTCTAAGCGATAACCGCGAACCGTGAACGTGCGCGCGGTAAATTTTCGATCCATTGGGTTTCAATGCCCCCGCATCTGGTTATGACTGCAGGATAGACTGCGTTCGCACTTTGAGCAGATAAGCATGCAGTTCCAAAATGGTCGCTTTTATTGGAGCGTCGTTTGAATGCTTGTGGGTAACTTCTACGCGGATGGTGGGGGAGAGTAGACATTAGATCACGTTATCCCCCGCAGAAAACTTTCCCCGTGGACAAACTACGATCCCCACCTCACAATTTCTCTCATGACCAACCTTTCCTACCTCCATCCTTCGCACCATCTTTCTGGATTTTCCGGATTTTACAATTTCTAATCGCTTCCTGACTTTCTTTCGACCACCTTTTTCCAAAAACTGCCATCTAGCGGGAGCATAACGCGGGTTCCATGTTCTTTCCTTAAAATTGCAGGTATGAAGAACCAGGCTCGTTAAACCTGAGTTTTGGTTAACCGCAGAGACATATCGTCCATAAAGGAGGCGTGGCTGCGTATTCCATGTCCACTGTATTGAACATAGATCTGTACAACTTTTTCGCCTAGACCCTCACCACTCTCGCGGTCACTCTCACCACTCCTACTGCCCTCATATAGGGAGTGTAGATATGCTGCTAGCGCATGCTCTTACTCGAGTCACGTTTGTCCCGCTTTTCTGTGAGCACTCATTCGGTAAACTCCTATTTTCGAGATGAAGAGACGATTTACGTGACCCCAGCAGCTTTAAAGATACGTCAACTACGAGTCACAAGGAAAGGTTCAAGCTCAGTTCTCAATGGAGCATCTTTACTCCAGCCTACAAACTACCAACGCATAGTTCGCGATAACGTAACACACCCCAGTCCCACATATTGACTTTAAATCCATTCATTTCCTCATGAAAAGTGAAGCGTTTTTCGCTCGAAAGCAGAATAGAGTCAGCACAGAACATAAGGTTATACCAGCCGCTTTGTGTACGGTAACAAGATAGCGGTGACTAGAGATTATTTTCCTGTATTACTGAAGGTAGGGAGTCCTAAGCATTGCCGAAATTCGCCTAACAAGACACTGGGGCATTTGTAACTCGTGTATATTTTTGTGTGCTAGGCGTAGATTGCTGTGCGACGTATGAATGTCCATTTGCTGGTGGTGTGTGGATGGTTAGGCTTTTCCCTGGCAACCTCTTCAATATCCTTTACGCTGAGCTCGCTGGAAAAGGTTGGAGAATTAACCTCGCTCCCAAGAGGGCAGAACATCCTGAAAATCATTTCTACACTAAATTAGCATTGTCTTTAATCATCTTGGTAATTTCACATTTTGATTAAAATGTGGTGGCTCCGGACAGCACAATATTACGATTGTTATTTTGTCGTCATCGCATGAGAATGCCTGCAATGCTACATTTCTCCAGTGAACTTTAATGGTTCAGGTTGAAAATGATCTCAGCAATATGTCGTCCTATTGTTCCAAGGATTTACTGCCGAGGTATGTTTCTTGTACACTAAGTTGTATTTTGCCTTTATTCCTCTGCAAGAAGTCAATTATGATTTACTACTATTTGACCTTTCTAATAAAACTTCCGTAGCACAGAGTTTATCATTCAGTCGCACCACATTATTTCTCTTACAAGGGAGGTCTTTCAGGTCGTGGCGCGCTTTTTGAAATGGTTTGTTGCTTGTTGTAGGGGTCCATACAAGGATCTTAAAAATGGGTTTCATTTTTGCTATGCGTTTCTGGGGAGGTCAAAAATTGAGTGAAAAAATTTGACAAGAATGGGCGATTTTAACTATCTTAATGGGCTCCGTTCTGATTGTAACTTCGAGCATGCATAGTTTATGAGGTGCTCGTTAATTAGGCTTCGAAAATAGTTTTAAATAAAGTCAAAATGTAAGTATCATGTAGTAACACACTTGGCATGCACCGACGCAACAGTGATGTTTTTGTCAGCGGTCCCCTCATGCTCACTGTCTGCGGATCGGATGGCGCGGCGGATAACTCGATGGATTCTAGATAGGACGACGATACGGAACTTTGTGAATTGGATCCTCCTTGTGGCGAATCCTTGTGGCAAACAGGCTTCTCCACACAACCGAGCTGGTTTGTAAGGTATCAGAATGAATATGCCTTCAAATGATACTTGCGTTATTTTTATTGCTAGACACACAGGAAGGCGAATGAATAGAAGGCTGAAAAATGCAAAAAGTCTGCCACAAGGAGGATCCGATTCACAAAGTCCCGTATCATCGTCCCATCCAGAATCCATCGAGTTATCCGTTGCGCCATCCGGTCCGCTAACAGTGAGCATGAAGGGACTGACAAAAACATCACTGTTGCGTCGGTGCATGCCAAGTGTGTTACTACATGATACTTACATTTTGACTTTATTTGAAACTATTTTCGAAGCCTAATTAACGAGCACCTCATAAACTATGCATGCTCGAAGTTACAATCAGAACGGAGCCCATTAAGATAGTTAAAATCGCCCATTCTTGTCAAATTCTTTTCACTCAGTTTTTGACCTACCCAGAAACGCATAGCAAAAATGAAACCCATTTTTGTGATCCTTGTATGGACCCCTACAACAAGCAACAAACCATTTCCAAAAAGCGCGCCACCACCTGAAAGACCTCCCTTGTTAGTAGTCCCCTGCATCCTAAAGTGGCTGTTTTGAAACAAATTGCCTATTAGGCCGCATTCAGACTTTGACTGAGTGTGCAGAATATGCGATTTCTTGAAATCGGCTTATTGAGCCTTTCTGTGAAGCATCCGCCGATATCCGCGACAGACTCGTCTTACTTTGGCCGTTCCCAGCGGGAGTGCGGGTCGTGTTTGCCTTGTGAGAAAAAAATGTATCGCGCTGACCTTTTCGGTTTTTGTATTCAAGTTGCTGTACACTCGCGCTTGACAAAATGTTCTTGGGAGAAAAACTGTGTTACGAAGGCAGGTTTTCTGGAGAAACTACGGAAAAAGTGCTGAATACTTAGGGAAGATTGTTAGGCGATGCGGGCGCAGGAGGAAATTTCAAGGCGTTCTGTTGCAGGATTTATCTTCAACGACAGGGCGTGCCCTGAACAGCTTCTACAAGCTGTTCAGATTTCCAGGTTTCACAGTGTATCATCCTAACACGTTGACGATCGCGTAATCCACATGCGCGTCGTCACGCTTAGCAGGCCCCTGGAACCGCATGAGTTGTATATGAATCACGCTCATCAAACCCATATCCTTCATAAATGCATGATTTTTTGCTTGGTTTCATCTATTTATTCTGAAGCTTCGTACCTACTATGCTCGCGGAAAACGTGGTCCGCTGAAGAATCAGTACGCTGAAGGGTAGCAAAGGTTTTTTGTGGATCAGGTTGTATGTGGATCACATCCTGAGGCAAGTTCTTAGCCAAAGAAAAAAAATGTCCTGTCTTCTGAGGGGAAATTCTGCGGAATACTAGCCTAATTATGGAAAATTGGGGGTCAAGGGTAAATAAATAGTACCCTAGTTTTCACTGAAACATCGAAAAAGAGTAAACATTGTCAAAAACGTCGTTATGGTGACCATTCCTGAATCTTTCTTTTATATAGACAAGCTCGCATTCTTACTCAGCTCTGAAAGAATGTTTTCTGACCTACGCATCACTCCTGTCGCGCTTGAAAAACGGTCCCACAAGGCCCGGAAACGTCAAATTGGGCACGCTTGTCAACGTGTTAATAATCTTGTTAATTAAGAACACACAACAATTGTAATAGTGTATAGGTACGCTAACAACCTGCTTATTTGTGACATTTATTTGAAGGTTTATGCTCAACTGTATCACAAGCAGATTATGAGAAAGCAGCTGAGGACACACTGGAGAGGTGAGTCAGGTTAGTTGGATGTCGTTATGTGTAGGATTTCGTTTTTATGTACTTGCCGGTTAAGTCAGAAACATTTTGCTTGTTCAAGGCTCTCCGATTATCTGGACGTTTTGCCTGACCAACTACAAGTGTCATCCGATTATGATGTTACAAATGCCATGGGCGTGTTGACAGTAGTCATAAGCAAGCAAATAGGTTAGTGCCCTGTTTCAGACTGAGTTTCGGTTTGTTGTGTTTGTTCTTCTTGGACTGAACCGTTCGTAGCAAACGCTCACCTGAGTTCATATCAATTACCGGGCATGTTTCTTTCTTTGTGTGATCTTTATCTATCCAATGTGAGGTAATGCGTAGCCGAAGCTGACTAGCATATCGGAGGGAAATTTCTTCCCAGGGAGTTGACAGAGTGCTCGTCTGACTCAGTTGAGCAGTGGTATTTCGATGGGTTTTCGATGAGGCTGAGTTTAGAGAAGGGAAGGAAATCCTTCGTGCCCCTGTTCT